GCTTACCCGCCCTGCTGTATGCAGCAAGTAAGGCGACCCGGCTGATGGCACCACGCGACGGCCGATGTGGCATGAGAATATTGTTAGTTGTGTAGATCATGGCCTCGTGTAGGTCAGTTGGATGTCTTTCGTCCGGTTCAGTGGAGTGCCGTTAATTTCTCGGGGACTTTTACTGACAGTTATTTTTATAATTCCAAAAGGTTTTCAAATGTGGGAGTTTTTATTTGGGGCTTTTATTATATTGTGCTTCCGAGTATTATTAACGGTGGTTAAAACTTCGAACCACAAATGGCCTGTCTGTAACACTATCTTCTCTATTCAAACGCTTGTTTACGTAGGTTACATGATACCCAGACTTTACTGTGTCATTCTCACTGAGTTTGATACTGACGCACTAACGTCGCACAATCTAGCTCGCTACACAGTTTAGTCGATGCTGTCTCGACTGTGTTGAAAAACATGTCATTAGTAAGAGTCCTTACCGTATATTAGTAAACTACTAACTGTCTGCTGTGGCTTTTTTGCCCAATCTCACTGCCCAATCTTCTGAAAACCGGGCCAAAAAATATTTAGTTTTGCTGTGGCTTGAATATGTTATTTTTCCCTTCACTAGGCCTATCGCTTGGAACCTTTAGTCTTGAAGCACTACACTTCAATACAACCAGCGCTGATCCATCGAGCTGACGCACCAGACCAACCGGATTACGATGAGCTCCCTCTAATAACTTCTACTGGGGAAGAGTTGAGGCGGAACCGTCTTTCAGATACAGTACGTTTTTTCTGGTGTCGTATTTCGAAATATCTTGTAGGTGGGTTTGCACTCGGTGTTCTGCACTACACCTACGAACCGCCTCGAGGACGGCGGAAAATGCACGCAACCCAACATAGTAAGGTGCACCAGCTACTTGTGCTCTTTTCCAATCTCCAGGTTTTAGTTATGTTTCTAACGACGATGATCCAGGGAGAAGGTTGCCACAACATGTTTATTTCGTTTTGGAAACTCCATGAAATTCTTCGATAAAGTGTCGCTCTTGCATGAGCTTAACCACCCACATAGATTCCCTCATCCACATCTTCCGTACTCAATCGCACAATTCGTAATTCACCAGTTACTACATCCGATATGTACGTGCTTTTTGGAAGGAATAACCGATTGCTGTTCATAATAAGAGGTGAACATGCTATGGGTCATTTATTACTTGTGTGACACAGGATGAGTTCTAAGTATCCGATGCATTCTGGATCTCCGTACCGCCAGCTAGAATGAATGGACTAGTGGACTGTGCCTCTGGGTTTTTTCAACACAGTCCGAGTGAGGTTTACGGACACAATAGGACTACAACCTCGGTGCTCGCGAAAATTAACTGCCCAGAAGACAAGTTCCACCAAATAATAAAGCCCTCCTCTGAGAAATTGTTCGAGTGATGAATGACACCAGACTCCTGGCTGTAGATCTGCGCTGGTGTGAATAAGGTGCACCATATACTGTTTACGAATGTCGGCAGAATTTCCAGTCCTTATCAGACCACACGATGCGCATTTGGTAATTTCCAACAAGCACGGAAAATAATTGTAGTCCATTTCGGATCTTCCGTTTTAGTTTGCTTAACCTTGCTTCGTGAAATTCAACTCGATTTTCACTTTTCCATTCCCGCTGCCAGTAAGGTGGGTGCTGAATGAGTTTAATCGAATAGTTCCTGCACAAGTCATTCATATTTTTTTCGACAGTACATAATGTAGCGCTCTGTGATTTAGCCTCAGTTCAGTACTACTGCCCTCGCAAGACCTGTGTTTGTATTCCCTGGCCTACTTTCTGATACTTTCACCCTGAAACTCTGCCAGTTTCTGTGTGGTAGTTGGAACAACTTTGGTACTCTTTTGCTCATTTTCTATTTCTGGCTCAACTCACTTGTTCCGTACGATATCCCTTGTTTTTCTGCTGTGTAGCCTCGTTTATCTGCGGAAGAAAATTGTTCCACAGAACCCCAAGATCAGCAGCGTGACTCGTCCGTTTCTCCCAACCGACAGCGACTCAGCTCCCCGGACTCAAGGCGTATCTCTTTCGCCAGTCAGTTGCGGTTAATTTGTCTTATTTGCTTTCTTTCTAGTTCGTTAGAACTATCCTGTTTGTGTTGTATTGGTTTGTCCAATAGCTTCCAAAGAGCTTGACCTCATTTTTACTAATTATTCTAGTTGGGAATAATGACAATGAGGCTTAGGAAAATGCATGGAATCAAATATTGCTTACTTCGGTTTTTATACTCGACAAATTTGTACTGTCTGATTGTTTGGTGTGCGATACTGTCGCAAATTTATGCTTAGGGATTTTCCCTTATTCCTAACTCCAGTTAGTAAGCATGCATTCCAAACTTCGTTCACAAAAGCTGTATACACTGGTCCATACAACGGCCGAGCGGACTCTGAAACGGTTATGAACTTTCTTTTGCAAATCAATTTAGTTTTCACGAGAGACTCAACTGAATCTCTCGTTTATGATATTTTTCTGTAGTTTTCTAATTCTTTTCCCAGCTTTCTGTGAGAACTCGTGCACGAAAATGCACCTCTCCGTTGTTACCGGCCTGTCACCGGTGCTACCCATTCTCAACACAAGCCCCTCAAACTCGGTGTGGATGTTTTTTTATGCACTTGAACTCTGATTATGATCACCGGGCTGGTCGAAACACAATCATATTTGTGTTTCAGAAACCCACCCATGTACGTCACTCTATATGTGGCGTTATCTGGATCGATAACGAGCGCTTCCAATATTACTTATGACGTAGGTTGTGTTCACTGCGTAGTTGTCAGAGGGGGTAAAATGTAGACCAATTAGTTGGCATGACCAATTAGCACCATGCGATGCATCCCATTGTGTGTTGAAGAAAGCGACGGGGAACCTGTGCCAGTTAACGTTATTCATGTATTATTCATGTGGTTATCCAGTTTTGGTCTCCGCCGGGAGAGTTAGGCAAGTGATGTGCATTTCTCCAATCCTCTTAGGCACGTTCAAATCGAGTGGTGTTTGTTTTTTTCTTGTAACACTTCCTCATTCTTCCTCTGTGAAGGGAGGAATGCTCTTGCCCTTTTGATCATCCCGAACAGTTTTCCTGCTATAATGCTTATGTCGAACGGTATTCGGAAGAAACAACTCGCCCTCGATAGATGAACTGATCATAAAGCATAGATTCCGCTGGCTTGGCCACGTGCTGCGTACGCCAGTCGACTGACTTCCTCGAAGAGCTTTTTTCGCACAACCACGTGAAGGATGGAAGAGAGCCACAAGCTGTCAAACAATGACTGGGCAGCGAAATATAAAAGCAATTACCGGCGAACTCAGCAGCTCTGGTCACTGCCGTCTTCCTGGAAGGGGGCCTCGAGATGGACCATATCAATGGTTAGAGACATCAGATATGACCCAGTCGCACCCTCAATGGCGCTCGTGCATCCAAGCTATTGCTTTCAATGCATACCTCCCTTCCAAATTTCCCCGCTTAACAGTCCACTGACAGATACTCTTTTGCTCATTTTCTATTTCTGGCTCAACTCACTTGTTCCGTACGATATCCCTTGTTTTTCTGCTGTGTAGCCTCGTTTATCTGCGGAAGAAAATTGTTCCACAGAACCCCAAGATCAGCAGCGTGACTCGTCCGTTTCTCCCAACCGACAGCGACTCAGCTCCCCGGACTCAAGGCGTATCTCTTTCGCCAGTCAGTTGCGGTTAATTTGTCTTATTTGCTTTCTTTCTAGTTCGTTAGAACTATCCTGTTTGTGTTGTATTGGTTTGTCCAATAGCTTCCAAAGAGCTTGACCTCATTTTTACTAATTATTCTAGTTGGGAATAATGACAATGAGGCTTAGGAAAATGCATGGAATCAAATATTGCTTACTTCGGTTTTTATACTCGACAAATTTGTACTGTCTGATTGTTTGGTGTGCGATACTGTCGCAAATTTATGCTTAGGGATTTTCCCTTATTCCTAACTCCAGTTAGTAAGCATGCATTCCAAACTTCGTTCACAAAAGCTGTATACACTGGTCCATACAACGGCCGAGCGGACTCTGAAACGGTTATGAACTTTCTTTTGCAAATCAATTTAGTTTTCACGAGAGACTCAACTGAATCTCTCGTTTATGATATTTTTCTGTAGTTTTCTAATTCTTTTCCCAGCTTTCTGTGAGAACTCATGCACGAAAATGCACCTCTCCGTTGTTACCGCCCTGTCACCGGTGCTACCCATTCTCAACACAAGCCCCTCAAACTCGGTGTGGATGTTTTTTTATGCACTTGAACTCTGATTATGATCACCGGGCTGGTCGAAACACAATCATATTTGTGTTTCAGAAACCCACCCATGTACGTCACTCTATATGTGGCGTTATCTGGATCGATAACGAGCGCTTCCAATATTACTTATGACGTAGGTTGTGTTCACTGCGTAGTTGTCAGAGGGGGTAAAATGTAGACCAATTAGTTGGCATGACCAATTAGCACCATGCGATGCATCCCATTGTGTGTTGAAGAAAGCGACGGGGAACCTGTGCCAGTTAACGTTATTCATGTATTATTCATGTGGTTATCCAGTTTTGGTCTCCGCCGGGAGAGTTAGGCAAGTGATGTGCATTTCTCCAATCCTCTTAGGCACGTTCAAATCGAGTGGTGTTTGTTTTTTTCTTGTAACACTTCCTCATTCTTCCTCTGTGAAGGGAGGAATGCTCTTGCCCTTTTGATCATCCCGAACAGTTTTCCTGCTATAATGCTTATGTCGAACGGTATTCGGAAGAAACAACTCGCCCTCGATAGATGAACTGATCATAAAGCATAGATTCCGCTGGCTTGGCCACGTGCTGCGTACGCCAGTCGACTGACTTCCTCGAAGAGCTTTTTTCGCACAACCACGTGAAGGATGGAAGAGAGCCACAAGCTGTCAAACAATGACTGGGCAGCGAAATATAAAAGCAATTACCGGCGAACTCAGCAGCTCTGGTCACTGCCGTCTTCCTGGAAGGGGGCCTCGAGATGGACCATATCAATGGTTAGAGACATCAGATATGACCCAGTCGCACCCTCAATGGCGCTCGTGCATCCAAGCTATTGCTTTCAATGCATACCTCCCTTCCAAATTTCCCCGCTTAACAGTCCACTGACAGATATGTATTTACGCGCCAATTTATCAGCTCCCGCCTCCAATGCGCAGCTACCTACCCCGCCTCCCCGAATCATCGGTGAACGAAACTGCGACAGCTACAACCACTGTATGACAAATACGCGGTTCTTACAGCTGACACTGATAATGATGTTGATCATGCGTAATTGAGGTCCAGGTGCAAAATATTGATCCAAAATGTTGGAGAATTCCTGAAACCGGCAAACGTGCCGGAACCGTAACTTTTGTTTGGTTGTCTTCAGCTTATAACTCAGATCCTACGCCCAGTGCAACCACGATGGGCGAGTAAATAATGCTGATCATGTGTTCATTACTATTGAAGAGTCTGGAAATTTATACGTCCCATGTTCTTGCTAATCAGATCGAAAACATCCCACTACATTCTAGCCCGATGTTGTATGGATGCCTCCGTCACGAAGAGACTGGACCTTACCGTGGTGTGGCGGGTTGTGTACCTCGGAGACCCATTGAGCTATACTGGGGGGGTGTCCGCGCGACACTCACAGAGTCTCTCATACTAGGTTGGTCAATGGTTAGAGGTCTGACGAACACAGTCTCCTGGCCCTCCAGGTTGG